AAAAGCAAGTTGCACAACAAAAACCTCACTTGTAAAAATTTAAAATTACGTGTAAAAGTTCACATGGCTAACCCCGGGAAGCAGGGCCCCAAGGAACTTCTACCTTCTACAGGATATAGTTTTCTGCATTGTTTGAATTTTTACAATGAACACTTATTACTTTTTGTACTCAGAAAAAAAAAATAAAAGATTTCTTAAAAAGGAACATTTCCTATGACTCAGCTCTCTGAGTCCCTGACTCCTTTACCTTTCTCAGTCATCTTGAGAAGGAGATATTATTCTTCACTCCTTATTCCAAGGAGGCCATGCTGACACCAGGGACGTTAAACAACATGGCCAAAGTCCCCCAGCCAGGAGCGACTGAGCTGGGTTGGGACCCCAGTCTGGCTGACTCTGAAGCCCACACTCTTTGCCCTACCTTAGGCCATCTATTCTGCGGGTCAAGAAAGAGAGAAGGCAGGAGAGAAGCAGCCGGGGCAGCTGGGCACAGGGCTGTGCCCTGGGACCTCAGCTGTCATGTCCTGGGAGCTGGGCCAGCTAAGGTGAACACGTGTGGCAGGACAGGGCTGTCTGCCTCATTTGCAAATGCAAAGGCAGGCTCTGCTCAGGCCTCAGCTCCAGTGCCCTGAGCTGCCCCAGGCTAGAAGGGTGGCAGGTGACCAGCCCCACCCTTGGCACCGCCCCCAAGGCCACAGGGTCGCCAAGTAGGTGGGCATGCACTGGGGCCCTAAATAACTTTCTATGTTGATCAACCTGTTTCTGGAAGATTTGGCATTGAAGGTCACCTGCCACCTTCTTGGCGAGAGCCTGGAAAGATGACGAGCACCGTCTGGACGGGCCAGTAACCAGATCTAGAAGTCAGATGGGCCGGAGCTGCTCAAATCCTGGCTTCCAAGCTGGGTGGCCTGGGGCCAGTCACCTCCCCTCTCTGAGTCTCCTTTCCTCAGCTGTGACATGGTGTTGCTAATTCTTCCCTGCAGAGCTGCTGGGGGAGTTCAGCGGGCAAATGTGTGGGGAAGTGCTCCCTGAGCTAGAAGCCCCCTCCTGCGTGCCGGGGAGAGTTACGATCCTGCACGTACACGCATGGAGCCTATGCACACCTGTGCAAATGTGGAGTGAACAAAGGTCGCTCCTGGCTGGAACAGGGGGCCCGGCCCCACAGAAACAGCAAGCAAGTGGGGTGAATGGCTGACACTTTTGCTGGCAGCCAACGCCAGGTTTTCTGCCGCTCTGCCCGGTCGTGAGAGAGGGTGTGTGACTCTGTGGGTGAAGATGTAGATGGGAGGCCTGGCAGGAACACGAAATGTGAGTGGGAGAGAAAGCGCTCGTGTCTGGGGCATGCGTGGGTGTGCATGTGAGCGTGTGTTACCTATCACGTCATCCACCTGCCTAAAAGCCCCCCCATGGCTTCCCACCGCACGCAGGATGGGGACTCACGTGGCCCATGGGGCCCTGCGTGCCTGTCCCTGCTCCAGGCCTCAGCACACACTGCACCCTCTCCCTGTCACAGTCGCCCCTGGCCTCCCTGTCACACCTCGCGTGCTGCGCTCTGCGGCGGTCTCTCTGGAGCCTCCTCCCCAGACTGGGTCAGCTTTCCCAAAAGTCTGTGTTGGGCCACCATCGATTTATCTGTTTGGTTTGCACATGTCCTGGTGTGATTATTGGATCACTAAAAGTCCCCCCACTAGAAATGGAGCTTCCCGAGGTGAGGACTGGATCTGTTAGGGGGCCTGGCACACAGCTGATGCCCAGCCATGGTCTGCTGCCCAAGTGACTGCGTGTGCCTCTAACTCCATGTTCACAACGACGTTGTCTGTTCCAGAGTCCAGTCTATGAGTGTGAGTAGGGAAGTGTGTGTGTGTGTGTGTGTGTGTGTGTGTGTGTGTGTGTGTGTGTGTGTGTGTGTGTGTGTGTGTGTGTGTGTGTGTGTGAGAGAGAGAGAGAGAGACAGAGAGAGACAGAGAGAGGCCGGGTCTGGGAAAGGCTGATGCGTTATGTGGCCAATGCCCAGGCAGGCTGGAGTGAGGGGAAGAGCAGGCAGAAGTTCCCTAGGCCCTCTCCCCTAGGCCCCTCCAAAAATAATCAGGCCCAGGGTCTCTGTGAGACTCCAGAATGTCTCTGGGCAGGCTGGCTGCCCCCTACCACCTCCTCCTGTGCTCTGCACTGGAATCCCCTCTCCCTACCAGCACGGAGGCCCGGCCTTCTGGCCTTCTCCCAGCTCAGCCCCTGCCACCCGGGGCCCCGCCCAAGCCTAGTCTTGTGTCTGACCACAATGTCCACCCCTCCCCCAGGCCTGCCTTGTGAGCAGCAGCTCTTGATCTGTGAGAAGATGGACCTCCAACCTCCCTGCCTGCTCAGCCACCTTCCACCAGCTGCCAAGAGATGACCTGGAATGTTCCAGAACTGGGGTGGTAGAAGAGAATCTTGTTCCTACCTCAAGGCTTTTACAATTACTCTGCCCTCTGCCTGGAGCAACCTTCCCACAGCCATCGGCTTCCGCTCAGGCCTCAGAGATGTCCCCCTGGTGTCCTTCGCAAAGGCAGGGCCCTTCCCACCACCCTGTCATTCACTACTCATCACGCACCTGAAACTACCATGTTAATATGTTAGCTCCTTTTGCACCTGTCCCTGCACTGGCAGGTAGCCTGCAAGAGGCCAGGGACCACATCCATCAGACTCGCTGCTGTGTCCCCAATTCTTAGACACTATCTGACACACAGTAGGGACTCAGTAAATACTTGTTGAATGAACATATGGCCAATGGAAGACTTGAAAGAATCCCATGAGATGAACATTGTTCCTGTTTACAGGCATGGAAACTGAGGTTCAGAGGGGCTGAGCCTCTAGTCCAAGGTCACACAGCAAAGAGTAAGACCAGGTCAAGATTAGAAACTGTCTGACTCTGCCAGAATCCTAACACATCAGACTGTTTTGAAGCCAATCTTTCCATTTTATAGGCAGGAAAATGAGCCTCAGGGATCCATGTTCCTCCAGGTCCCATGGGCCTAAAATGCTTCTCCCCTCCTGCAGCGCATGGTCTGAAACAGCCTCATGGTTATGCCAGGCCAGCCCTTTGACAGTACCTCCTCACTCCTCTCACTCGCCCGGAGGTGGGAATTACTAATACCTCCACTGCACAAAGGAGAAACCACCACCACCAGTCAGCCAGGGGAGGTACGCCCCAAGGTGACCCAGCCAGGACTCAGTGCAAGCGGTGTTCTCAGGGCCAGTGTCAAGGTCGGTCCCCAAGGCCAGGAAGCATGCTCACATGCAAGCAGGTATCACCTCCAGGCAGGCGGTGAGCTTCCAGAGGGCAGAACCCACACACTAAGCAATTCTGTCCCCTCTGGAGGGCCTGGCACATAAGATGATACTGCAGTGACTGCGATCGCTGGCATCGCTCTGTGCCAGGCCTGGTTTTAGACCTTGGCATTAAACAAGGCACAGATTACTTCATTTACTCCCCACAACAATCTACAGGCTGGTGCTTTTATTGTCCTCATTCTACAGGTGAAGAGACCAAGACCCAGAGAAGTTAACCTCCACTGTACGCAGCACTGGACTGACAGAGAGTAAGGAGAATTGAAGTTGGTATCTGAACTCAGGTCTGCCTGGAAACAGAACCCAATCCTTGCCACGCGCCACCCAAACAAAGGGACCTGAGCTGGAGCATCCCCAGGCTGTAGAGGCAGGCAGGGCCAACCAGGCTGGCAACCTTAGAATTGCAAGAGACCTGGGGGGGCCACCTGCGCCTCTTCAGCGCACCTAAGCGGGGCATGGGGAAACTTCCCAGAGATGGGGGCTCACTTCCCGGTCACACGGGCAAATAGCGGCAGTCCCAGGAACAAAACCCATCTGGAGGGGATCTTGTCTCGTCTTCTTAAGCTAGAGGGGTGTTCTCCTGGAAGAGGGGGTCCTCTCTGGTCTTGGGTCTCTCCCAGGAGTCCCCCTACCAAGGATGTGGCATCTCCTGCCCACAGGCAGACAGGAGCAAATAAGGGGCCTCAAGGCCTGCAAGAGCTGAACTGAGTAGAGAATGAAAAAGAGGGCAGGCTAGGACCAGTGACTGTTTAGACCAGAAAGAGCAGACTTGGGGAGATGCTATGTCACCCCCCTCCTTATCTCACTGCAGGGCCACTGTGGGGGGCGGGAGTTCCAGGGGGTGCATCTAGGCTCAGGCAGCTGGTTCCAAGTAAGGAAGGACTTTTGATATCCATCTGAGCTGCCCAGCGATGGAATGGGCTGCTTCTAAGGAAGGAAGGGCTAGTCAAGAAGCTGCTGAGAGGTCATGATGGTCTCGGACAGGAAGAGTGCGTTTCAAGAGGTCCATGAAGTCGCTGAAAATGAAGGTGCATATTTCTCAGGAGACCCCAGAGACTTCTTCCAATACTCAAAGGGGTCATGAACCAAGGGAGGGATTCCTTGTTAAGTAGGAGGCCATAGGAAGGTCCTTCAAAGGTCTCTTCCATTTCCAAAGATTCTAAGAGACCTAAATTCTTTGATTTTAAGATTTTACAAAGCCAGGAGCCTAAGATTCAGTGGTTCTGCATGTCAATCACGGACATGATATCCAAACTCCTACTCTGCCTACAAGACCCTGATCAATCTGGCCCCTCCCCTCTCTCCAAAACCATTCCCAACCTCACACTCCCTCATCCCTCCAGCCACACTGGCCTCCTCCCTGCAGAACAAACTAAGCTTGCTCCTGCCTCAGGGCCTTTGCACCTGCTCTTCCCTCTGCCAGACTTCCCCTTTGCCCCTGCTAACTTCCTACAGCCAGCTTGTCTCATTCTTCAGGTTTTGGTTCAAATGCCACCTTCTCAAAAAGGCCTTCTATAACTTCCTCTGACATTCTCCATCCCTACAGCTTAGGATAATATGTAAATGGGACCCTAGTTGCTTAGGTTCAAATCTCAGCTTTGCCAAGAGACCTTGAGCGGGTTACTTAACCCCTCTATGCCTTAGTTTCCTCAGCCCTAAACCAGGAATAACAACAGTACCTGCCTCATGAGGTGGTTGTGAGGATCAAATTCATCAATATACGAAAGGGCTTTGGAATACAGTCCAGCATGTAGTAAGCTCTAGGTAAGGATCGGCTCTTCTTAGAGTGTATCCTTGCTTTAAAACTCAGCATAACCGCCCTGGCAGGTGCAGCTCAGTGGATTGAGTGTTGGCCTGTGGACTGAAATGTTGCCACTTCGATTCCTGGTTAGGGCACATGCCTAGGTTGCAGGCCAGGTTCCCAGCTGGGGGCATGCAAGAGGCAAATGATTGATGTATCACTCACACATCAATGTTTCTCTCCCTCCTTTCCCCTCTCTCTAAAAATAAAATAAATAAAATCTTTTAAAATTCAGCACAACCATTATAGTTTGTTTTCTTGCCTATTTATAGACCATCTTCCCTACTCTGTTTTGTAGATGAGAAAATTAAGGCTCAAAGAGGTGAAGAACTAGCCCAACCAAGCTCTCTGAAGATAGGGGCTGGGCCTGCTTTGTTTTCCACTGACTCTACAGTCCCCAGAACTGCACCTGGCATGCAGTAGGTACTCTGTAATTACTTGCCGCTGAATGAATGAATGAATGAATGAATGACCGTGACTTTGTCAGTCTGAGGTGCTGTGCAGGCAGGAGCCTATGCACTTAAGATTCTATTTCAGCCCAACTCTGCCCACCCTAGTCCCAAATAACCCTCAGTGCAGTCAAGGTCCCAGACTCTCTTAGAAGTGGGTGCTGGAACAGGCAGGCCAATGAAGTGGGGACCAGAGTCCATGCCTCTGTCCCTCCTGGGACCCCCTTACTCCAGCTGGGCCAGGGCGACGAGGCAGGAGCTGCCTTGGCATTCGCCTTGGGGGATCCCTGCCCAGAGGTATGGCGGCAGGTGTGGGCTCAGGAAGCAGCTGCTGGCTCCCTCGCCCTGTGCTCTGCCAGCTTCCCTCCCGGGGCCTGCCCAGCAGATGCATAATAGATGAGGAGGCCCAGCGGGCCGTGCCTGCCTGGCATTTCAGAGTTACTAATGAGGCCAGCCTCGTGCTTCCTGCAGCAGCGCACAGACCCCCAAGGCCTCCAGCTCAGGGATCGGCCACCTGAGGACAGGGGCCGCCCACCCAAGCCCCCCTTGTCACAGACAGCAACTCAACGAAAGATCCGATTCAACAAAAACTTGTGGAGCATCAAGTGGGGCCCAGAAAAGGGAAGTGACCTGCCCAAGGTCACACCGCTAGTATGTGGCAAGGGCAGATTCAAGTCCATTCCTGTCAGACTCCAAAAGCTGTGCCGTTCCCACTGCCCCAGGAAAGGGCGCTGATGAGGCGTGACAAGCAGGAGGGAAGGTGTTCCAAGGAGACAAAGGTGGGGCGTGGGGATGAGGAAAGAAAACACTCAACAGGCAGTGAGGGAGGTGGGCTGGAGGCGTGGCAAACACTTGTGGGAATGGAATGGGGGGGAAATCGAGGGGAGGGGACGACATGAGCACAAGAATGGAGGCGGTGCTCACTGGGGCCATGTTCCCATTGATCAGAAACGCAGGGCAAGCGAGAAGTGAGACCCAGGCGGGAAAGGGAGGTGGGCCAGGCCTTCAATGCCAGGGAATCATAATTAATAGTCAAAATGACCCGCATTTTACAGTAATTATATGCCAGGCACGGGCTGTGGGCCAAGAAATTGGCTTCCAGAAGGGGGGGTGGGCGGGCTGCCCAGTGGTTAGCACCTCAGACAGCAGCTCCAGCAAGGAGGGTGTGGGGCAAGGCCTTGTCCTGGTGATTGCAGAATCCTACTTAATAGGTGTCGCCTGAGACCCAGAGAGAAAGGGGGGCTTGCGCACCATCACAGAGCAGGTTACTTAATGTCAGTCCTGGGCCCTCATCTATGACTCTTCGTCGAGGGCTCCCTAAAGTGGGCTTTGCGGGTCACCCTCCCGTCTTCGAGCTTCCCTCAAGTGCATCCTCCACGCGGCCCCCCACTGTGGCCTGGGCGCCTGGGACAGAGTGGGTGAGGCTCTGGGCTCCGCAGAGTCTGGGAGAGCAAGGTTTAAATCCCAGCTCCACCACTGACCAGCTATGGGAACGTGGGGAAGTCGCTTCCCCGCCTCTGTGCATCATTGTTGTCATCTGCAACGAGAGGTGATCGTCTCTAACTCGGGGATGTGGGAAAGCTTATGTGAGATGATGTGGTTCAAGCGCCTAAGAGTACCTGGTGCACAGCAGGCGGCTGGCAAACGGCCGCTGCTGGGATAGTGTTTCTGAACTCCGTGAAGGAAGAGATGGCATCTCCCTCACCTCCACCTCTCTCTCGTCACCCAGCCCCTGCTCTGGGCCCAGCACACTATCCTACACAGACCACAGGCTCAAACCGACTGGGCACAGCAGCAGGACGTAAACCCAGAGAGGGAGAGTACACGGCCCTGGGTCACAGAGAGAGCATCAAAGGGGAGTAAACCGGCAGACCCTGCAGCACGGCCTGGGTGCCCCATGTGCCTCCCACCCCAGACGTGGCTTCCTGGGGGCAATGGCACCAGATGGGAGGCATCCAGCAGCTGGGGGGCACTGCAGGACCTGGCACAGGTCCTCAGCAGGGGCAGGAACCAGGAGCCAGGGCCCTCGGGGGCACTCCTGCTGGAGCTGAAGCGGCAGCAGGAGCAGCCAGCTGGGCGCATGTGACGCTGGTACCAGGGAAGCCGGGAGGCGCCCGCCCATTGCGGCCCCGGGGGCCCTGTGGATCCCGAGGTGAGACTGCACCTCCACCCACTGCCCTGGGTGTTGGGGAAGCTGCGGGCACAGCCGCCTCCTTCCCTCCTCCCCTGAAGACAGGGCAGCCTCACACTGAGGAAGTGGGAAGCGGGCTGGGGGAGAGGGTTCCGAAGGCTGTGTGTTGTGGAACTAGGGGGTCTGGGGGTCAGCAAAGAGGCTAAGGGCACCCCCAGCCCAGCTGGGAGCCACCATGAGGCAGGAAAGAAGAGAGAGAAAGGAAGGAAACGCTTTCAGAGACAGCCTCCAATATGCCAGGCCCTGTTCTGCTTTGTTTTTACAACTTACACTCTGTTAAACAGGCATTTTAATCTCCAGGTCACAGGTGAGCATGCTGAGTTTCAGGAAGGTTAGTGAATTGCTGACCGTCACACAGGCAGTGGCAGAGCTGACATTTAACCTGATTTGCCTGACTCCAAGGAAGGGCTCTAGCAGGAACTGTGTGTGTTGGGGGTGGGGGGGGCACATGAGGGCAGAGCTGGTGAGAGGGTCGGCCTGCCCTGTCGCCTCGAGAGGATGGCTGCAGGGTTGGTGGGGCCTGGTCTGGCCTTACAGGGGAGGGAATGGCTCCAGAGTGTCCCCAGGGTCCGGCCATGCAGTCCAGCCCCAGTACTTACCACACACTCCGGTGAAGGGTGAAGGACTTGTCCACCCTGAAACACAGCAAGAGGGGCAACAGGTGAGGGGTGGCCCCTTCTTATCCAGCTTTCCAGCTTTCCCCATCAGACCCACCTCACTCACTAACTGCCGCGCCCCCCCCCCCCCCCCCCGCCAGAGGAGCCTGGAGGAAGTGCTCAATGCATTGTCACCATCCCCCCTAGGCTGCAGGGGCCCTAATGTCAGCTGAGGGACACAGGAAGGTGTGGGGTAAAGGAGCAAGGACAAGAGGCAGGACTGGGGACATGGGGGTAGGAAGCAGTGGCCCAGTGGCAGAGGAGCGGAGGTCAGTGCAGAAGGCCCTGGAACGGGTGGAGTGGGACAGCGGCCACAGCAGCTGGGGTCGGAGCAGGGATGTGGGGTGTGGCTGACGCCGGCTTGCAGTGTTTCCAGACAGGACTGAAGGATGTGGGTGTCTAGGAAGAACCGCCCCCACACCCCTCCTCCCTTTGCCAGCAGCCTGCCTTGATCCGGCAGCTGGTGTTCACTCCTGGCCACCAGGGAACAAAAGCCAGGGAATCTGGGAACAGGAGGTCCACCTGAGCTTCCTCTCCTATCCCACCCCCAACACACACCCCCACCCCCAAAGCAGAGCCGGAGTAAGTCCTCAGGTCCCCAGAGTTCAGGGGCCACCCCAGGCTTTCTCTACCCCAAGCCCTCCAGGTCCCGCATCAGAGAGCGTGTGTGGGCAGTGCCCTCTCTCAGTGCTGCCCCCACCCACCTCCGAGGGCACCTTGGGGTTGGGAGGCCTGGGGAGGGCTCCGCCCTCCCGCCTAGCTGGGGCCAAGGGGCGCAGTGGCTGTTGGGACAACAAACAACTCTGGCCTCCTGCTCCGAGCCCAGAGGAGAATGGCAAAGGGGCCCCAAACCAGACTCTGCCAGCCAGGGGGCACCATCTCGGGGGATGGGGCTGAGTCGCCCAGGGGTCAGCTAATGTGGACCCTGCAGACGGGGAAAGGGAGGCTGGAGGAGCCAGGACTTGCCCAAGGTCACACAGCACAGCCCAGCCCCACTCTCTGGAATGCATCTTGGGATCAGCTGACCAGGAGCCTCAGGGCTCAACCCAGGCTCCTCTCTTCACCTGATGACCCAGCAGGGCCCCAGATAGGGAAGGCAGCCCACCCAGCCCCCCGCCAGGGGTCCTCCTGAAGGCTGGGCATCCACGGAGGGGAGGCACCTTGGACGCAGTGGCCACCAGCTGTGTCCCAACTTCTCCCCGCCCTGAAGTGTGTGTCTCTCTAACCGCAGGGAGGCAGAGCCCGGTGGAGGTTATGCAACCACTTGCCCAGCCAGGGAAGCGACTCTGGTCCCAGTCCGTCTACCCAGCCTCCCCATTTACCAAATCTCTGCCAAAGGCAAAAACCTCTACGCCCCTCTGAGGGGGTGGTCAAGAAGGACAGTGACCTGAGATGGACCACCACTTTGACGGCCTCCTCCCAGGTCTCCAGGCCCAGGCGACCAATAGCCCTGGCAGGAGGGGGTCCCTCCAAGATGGGGGCAGCCCAGGGGTGGGGTGTGGCAAATGGCTTCTAGGTTCCCTTCCTCCGAACCCTCAGTGCCCGCACCCAGCCATTCAGAGACCAAGTGGCGGCGCCTGCAGGGACTCCCTGACCTGCCTCGTCCCACCCCCACTATACATGCACCCAGGAGTGCACATACACAGGCCCAGCTTCCTGTCCACATACAAGTCACATGCATTATTAGCACTGTCACACACTCAGGACACAAACACAGAAATG